TTTTCAAATAACAAAAGCTTGACTGAATCAAAAGATTAAAATAGCAAAAATAATAAAATTTTACAAAAGGGCAAGTGTTCCAATGCCTGTGACATGAACATGTCCTTGATATGAACACGTCTCAGATTGCGTCTCTTATCGAGTGATTGGTATTGTGCCTGAGAAACATAAATGCTAAGTGAGTGATAGACCGCGTGATCGAGATTGCCCACACTTATTCAAAAATGATTCAAATAATAAATTTTTAAAAAAAAAATGCAAAATAAAAAAAACAGAGCAAAAAAAAAAAAAAAAAAAAAAAAAAAAAAAAAAAAAAAGAGCTCAAAAGTGAGAAACCTCAAGCATAAAATTACAAAGATTCAAAAGCAAGGTTGCACACCTTGGGAGCTTATCTAGGGTCTTGAGCCTTTATCCCTTTATTATTCAACCTTTAGCCTAACCACGTTACAACCCTTAAAAAGTCCTTTTTGAGGTATACACACTTGTGCGAGGTTCGGCTAGAGCTACGTTCGGCCTGATTCCTAATGGATACGTAGGAAACCTCATAAAGGGGTGTGGCCGTAATAAAATGCATTCATATTCAAATTCACACACTCACACCATGATCATATCAAAGGATCTCTAATGCTCATTCCTATTCATTTAGAGTTAGAATTAGGGGCTTGATCCCTACATTGTTAACTTACCTAGCATAAGAGTCACAATCTTTTGACTCTTCTCAAAATACTTTTCTACACACTCAGCCCTTGTGGCCTAACTTTAGTGTCACTATCACACACATCACAGATACATGACCAAATATATATACTTCCCTTAGGAATCCTTTGTCATGAAATCTGAACACAACGTTGAAGCATGCCTTGTCATATCAACATTACTCAAAATCACTCATCATTGCATAACAAAGTTTGAAGTGCTTAGCCTCCGTGCCTAAGTTACCTAAATACTTCCATGATCAAGTCAACTAGGATATCCTAAGATGAATTATTCCTTGCATCTTAAGAGATAGTATCGAACGCATATATTTGACTAAGATCATTCAACATGCATTATCAAAAACTTCTTCCTTTTCGCGTCTTTCTTTTTCGGGAGAAAGTCGGTACCCTCCATAAAAAATGATGGAAATTTTTCTCTTTCTTTGAATTTTTTGAGTCGCACGATCACACTATAATGCATACACGAGTTATGAAGGTTGAGTCATGTCGTGTCATATCACCTTGAATTGAGTCTAACACATGTGTCAAACACTTTGAGTCGAGTCATGACAAGTCATATGTGTTAAAGACACATTAAGTCTTAATTGAGCCTTAGGATAATCCTAAGATAATTAAAGACATGAGAAAAATCCTATAGTAAAAAATATAAATGCAGGTGCATCCCAGCAAGTAAGAACATTCCCGGATTTTTTCGAAAAATCGCGAATATGACACATGAGATTCTTCCAAGATGAGAGGAGTTTGAGCAAAAATACATGGATCAGTAAATTAAAGATGAAGAGCTTTAATTTACAAAAGATTTGAGCGGATTTGGTTGAAATGAAACGACCAAGTTCAAAGTTCGGAGCGAAACTGAGCAACGAACAGCAGCAGCATGGGAAAATAGGGAAGACTCGACTCCAGCGCCAGAGGACAAGGTTGCCGCGTGGAGACAGAAGCAATGTGTGGCGACACATTTTCCAGCGGGCGCTTGTGCGGCGACACAATGCGTGGCCCCCATATTAGATTATGCAGACCTAGTACAACAATTTTCGGGTTCCTTGGTACGCCAGTTAGCCCCTTTAAGCAAATTGACATGATTAGTAGTCGGCTCGATTACAATTGCAGTTAGTGATTGACCTGAAGACGATCATCTCACTTAGCTTAAGCGCCTAAGCATTGGCTTATTACAAGCACCAACGCATCAGTTCAAAAGCAAGCACTTATACGACAATTTTTTCAAGATTAGATTGTCATCCCCAACTGTTAATATTTCCAAAATATGGATTGTTGCGCATCTTCTTCAACAAAAAATTTTCCAAGATTGGATTGTCATCTCAAGCAAAGTTTCCAAGCGTTGATTGTCATGCTCTTTTTCTGTTTGGCAATTTTTTTCAAGTTCGAATTGTCATCTCCAGCAATTTTTCCGAGATTGGATTGTCATACACATAGTTGCCTATAGCAAAATTTCCCAAAGGATTGTCGTAGGGCTCTACTCATCATAAATTTCGGCAAAGGTTCCTCAATGTGGATTGTCATTCATTTCAGTAAGTGGCAAATTTCCCCGAAGTGGATTTTCAATCGACTCTCTTTTGCAAATGCTCTAAGACGCAGATTGTCAATAGTGGCAATATTTCCTAAAAGGATTGTCGCATAGCGTTGGAAAATTTTCAAGGTGGATTGCTTTCAAGAGTTATATTCCAAGATGTGGATTGTCGATCGTATCAAAGTTCTTATGACAGATTGTTACGAAACATTGGCAACTTTTCCCAAAATTGGATTTTGGCAAATTTTCCAAGATACGAATTGTCACTTCATCGTAGCAACATTTCCAAGGACGGTTTGTTACGTGGCATTGACAACTTTCCCTAAATCGGATTGTCATACATCATACAAGAGTTGGGTTGGCAACGATTCTCAAAGCATCAACAGCAAAGTTCAAGTGAGCTTTAAGGATCGACAAGCGTTGATCCTTGGTAATTTTCTTCGGAATATTATCGCAAAACTGAAGGTGGCTCACGCGGAGTTATCTTCGACGGCGTTCTCTAGCTTGTGGAGGGTTGCCACAAAAAACCGAGGATGGTTTTAGGCGAATTAATCTTTAATAGTGTTCTCTGACTTGCAGAAGACTATCACAACGGAAATTGGAGGCAGTTGCAGGCGTAGCATTCTTCAGGCGGTATCCCCTAGCTTGAGGAAGATCGTCAAAGCTCTTTGTTCAGAGACATGTGGAGATATCAAAAAGCTCCATTGTTCAGAGACGAGTGAACATCAAAACAGCAAGATGGCGTTCCCTAGCTTGTGGAAAGTTGTCACAACAGCAGATGCAACAAATCGGTTACTCCCAGAGACGTGTACTTGAAGGTGCAAGATACGCTTTTCTTAACTCTTTTATCTGTTTAACTAACGCTAGTTTGCAGGTATCGACGTTACAAGAATGATTTAGGCACACAAAACGTTCTATATCATTCTTCTTCCCTATCGATACTTTTACTTTTGTATTCGAAACTTGTGTTTCTCCAAACTCAGTCAAGGTGGGGGCTTCTGTAAACACCCAAATGTGTCTCCCCAAAATCAAACCCAGTGATGAATACCTTTCATGTATCGGTGTTACAAGAATGATTTAGGATCGCAGAACGTTCTGAATCATTCTTTTTCCCTATCGATACTTTGACTTTTGTTTTCAAAACTTGCGTTTCTCCAAACTCAGTCAAGGTGGGGGTTTCTGTAGACACCCAATTGTGTCTCCCCAAAATCAAACCCAGTGATGAATAACAAACGTGGTGGCTTGTGACTAGTCCAAAAAAAAGAAAAAAAAACTTAAAAACAACCCTACTAGCCCACGCCACTCCATCCCGCCAGCATTGAGCCTACTGCCTGACTCCCCGGCGTTGCGTATCCAGCCTCCCAGATTCCCCCTCCCTCAGCAGCGCCCCCCTACCTCACAAATCGGCCAGAATCAGACCACCAACCGCACAAATCAAACAACGAAAACCTAGAAAATCCTATCCCTCCACCCTCGAAACTCCTTTTTAGTCTCTATCCCGATCCCCTTTACCCTTCTCCCGTCCCGATTTCGGCCACACTTTCCTTCAACCACCTCGTTCTAGTGATTTGGGTCGGTGGGTTTCGAATGGGTAGGGTTGGTGGGGTTTTAAAGGGGTTTTGGGGTTGGTTTGTTGATTGGTTGTGGTGGTGGTTTGGGGGTAGGAGGAGGAACGACGATGGGTGTGGGCGCTGCGATGGGTCTGAGCGCAGCGAACGTGGCTGTGGGGAGGTGGCTGAGGTTGATGGTGGTAGTTTTAAAATAATTAATTAAAATTAAAACTTATTTTTTTTACCAATCATGTGGTGACACGTCTAAATTAAACTTAATAAAAAAAATTACCTACTGAATCGGTTACAGGTCATTTGGGAACATTGTGAGAAGATTGGGTATAAATGTCGGATTATTTACAAATAAGCTAAAAGTGAGATTATTTTGGGCATACGCCCCATGACGGGGATTATTCCGGACAATTTTTCCAACTAATTAATGGTTATAGTTTTTCATAAAATTTGGTAAACTATAAGTTGCACAAACCTAAGCAACTATGCAAGTACGGTCGAACGGACCCAATTCTAATCAGTAATCACCCACAGTGGCGGACCTGGGCTTGTGCTTGGTGGGTCAAGTGATTCACCAGGGCCCAAAAAAAATTTGAAGTTTTTTTTTTTTTAAAAAAAAAAAAAAAAAAAAAAATTCTAACGTCTGAGTTAGCCCTAGCCCACTTCGCCAGTTCGCCTCTTCCGCTTCGCAAGTTCGCATCTTCCTCTTCACCTCTTCCTCAGACCTCAGTTCCTCTTCGTTAGTTCGCTTCATCTTCCTCTTCGCATAATTTCAGGTTAGTTATCTACTCATCTACTCATCTTTCGGCTTTTTTTTATTTATTTATTTAATTGTTGATATTACTTGTTAGTTGTTAGTTATGAATTATGATTTAGTAATACTAAATTTGAACCCTAAATCCCTAATTGTTCAATAATCAACTCAATTTCAGAGAATTTTGCATTATCTGAATTGTGAATTTGTGAAATATTTGAACCCTAAATCCCTAATTGTGAATTTGTGAAATGTAAAATGTTAGTTATCAACTCAATCCCTAATTGACTAATTGTTCATAATCTACTGCTCTTCGCTAGTTTGCTCACGCCTCCAGTGCTTGTTGTGCTGCTGGCCTGTTGGCTGCTGCTCGCCTAGTCGCCTGCTCCAGCCTCCAGTGCTCTGTGCAGCTGTGCTCTGTCCTCTGCTGCTCGCTAGTCGCCTGCTCCAGTGCCTAGTCGCTGACTTGCTGTCTTGCTGAGTGTTGGGCATGGCCCTGCTGCAGTGCTGCTCCGCTGCTCGCCTCAATCATTCAGCGCCTGCCGCCTCCGCCTAGCAAGGTAGGTAATCATCAATTGATTCTTTTTTTTTTTTGTGAATTGATCAAATTTGCATTACTTGTCTTTTAAAATTAGTATATACGGTGAATGTTCATTGAATTTGCATTATTTGTGTAAATTGTGTTTTGACTATTAAATTGAACTTATTAGTTTATCTGTTTATGTCATTATGTGAAATTGTGAATATGTGATGCCGGACATTGTATAAGACAACAATTAAACTATTAGTGTAAGGAGGATTATAAATTTATAATTAGAATACAGTTTGGACTAGTTAGTGCTTAGTGGTGCTAGTCGCATATTCGGCTGGAAGTTCCGTATAGACTAGTGGAGATATTAGTTTGTTGATTTTAGTCTTGTCAATTTTAAGCTTTTTAATTATTAGTTAGTATTGTAATCTTGTCAATTTTCTATTTGGATGATCTTTGTAAATAATTTTTCTGGGGAATATTGCTTGATTTAGTTGAATATTGCTTGATTTAGTTGAATATGAACCGTCCAACCAATCATGAATAGGGGTAATTCGCTGTTGGGGTTATTTGCATATGATTCATACTTGTGATTTCATTTGTTTTGTTAACTTTGTGTTTGATTAGGTTGTTGAATTTATATGCAGGGAAGACTCAGCTTATCAATCATTTTCTAATCAACAAGAGTTGGTATATTGTTAATTTGCCTGGATATGGGTGAGTCTCTGTAATTTTGGTTTTAATTTGGGCAATTTCTGTAATTCTTGAGTCTATTTCATGCTGGGAATATTGTATACTTGTATTGTGAATCAATTGTTATTCGTGTTTATTCCTGATCATATGCTTGAATCATATTGAAGTGCCAAAAAAGGATTGCTTTTACGCCTTGAGGCATTGCTTCAAAATTATTGATCATCCTGTAAAACATGTTGCGGACTGATATGTATTTAGGCTACATCCGCTGTAGTTAATTTGGTCTCCAATCGTGTTGTTTATTTTCAAGTTTATGAAGTAAATGTCTCCTTACATGTCATTGTGAAATTTTTTTTTACATATTTGATTATCGATTGTGACTCACCAGTCGGAAATTCCTGGGTCCGCCACTGATCACCAATAGATAAAATTCTTGTACACAAAAAAAAAAAAATAATAATAATAAAAATTAAATTAAATTAAATTATGAGATTCTAAATTTTATGTGGCACAGGCGCACAGCTGGGAACAGACTCAAATTTTTGTATAGTATGTATCACGGCCCACATATCAAGCAGTCCAATCCATTTTACGATGGTTACAATGAACACACCCCTTTTTTCCAAACTAAACGTGGCAGCCAAATCATACGTATCATTTACTGCCTAATATTGTACATCTTCTCACATCACATTTACATAAATTTCCATAATAGCTGACAATTTCATACATAAATATCACATATCTAATGCTTTCATCCAACATTTCTAAAAATATGAAGACATTCAACAAGATTATTATGTCATTTCTTCTCTCCCTAATTCTTTTGTCCTACCTCTTCGTAACCCCATCGTCCGCAGGTTTGCTTCCTTATCATATTCCTTTTGTCCGAAATTAATAGCCAAGTGATACTGTGACATGACGTTTAATTGTTTCGATATTTGATTAAATTGCTTGAATAATGATGTTTGGGTGGTTAAACTATTTGATAGGATTGGTGCAAAGCAGATATAAACATAAAACAGTTTCGAGTACGAAATTGTTTGTGTTTGGTGATTCTTATGCGGATACCGGAAACTGGAAAAAGACGGTTGCAATTTCTTGGAAAAAACCTTATGGTATCACTTTTCCTGGTAACCCTTCCGGTCGCTTTTCTGATGGTCGGATTCTTACTGATTATATTGGTAAGTTTTATTTTCTAACACTTGTACTTCAATTTATAAACTTTATTTTTATTTCTATGTATATTTTGTACTATAAGGCTTCTACGGAGTAATCAATTTTGCAATATGACTAGCCAGAGAATAAGGAGAATTTGATAATTTACGATTCATCCTTCATTTCTTGAGACAGGGGTCTCCGAAAATTTTCTTTAACTTGGATCCTAAATAAGATATACTAAAAAACCAAAGATAAGAGGAATGGTAATAATAAGTTGGTAATGGAGTAACTAATAACTTGACGGAATTCTATTCTTTTCTACGGAGTATTACTTATTCTGTTACAAACTCTAAAATAGATTTGGTTCACATAAATTAATTATAGACCACTAGACACACTATGGTTTAGGTCAAGAGTTTCCTTTTTTGAAAAGAAAAAAAAAAGAAAAAAAAAGTTAGTCTTTTAAAATAATCTTTATGCTTTTTCACCATTTTCTTCCAATAATAATTCAAAGGAAAAATTGAAAAGAATAATCCCACCTTTCACCCATCTGCTCAAAATAATCCCACCTCGTCGAATTCCAGAAATTATCACACCTTGTAACCCCATCTTCCCAAAATGAACCTTTTACCGGTTTATGAAATTAGTAACTTGTTTTAGAAGGTGACTTGATACTTGTCACCTTCTAATTGATCCTAATTTTAAAATATTTTAAAAAAATCAAAACAATTAAAAAAAAAATTCTCCCAGCCCCCACCACGTACCCCTTTCATCGTCACCATCACCACCGTCACAACACCTTGCGGCCCTGCCACCACCCCTTTATCACCACCAATCCACCACCATCACAACCCCTGTTTCCGCCCCTTACCACCACCATCACCATCACCATCACAACCTGAAACCCCAACCTAACCTTGAACCCGAAGCCACACTTGAACTGGAAAGAAATGGAACGGAAGTCGGTCGGTGTTTTAGGCTACCAACCCAACCCACGAAAATCACCTCCACCCCACCCAACCCACGAAAATCACCTCCACCCCTGATTTAAGCTGATTTGTGGGTACGTTGAGTTGCAAATTCTGGCGCTACTTTCGTTCAAATTGGAGGCTATCGGGATTGATAATGTTTGGTTGATTGGTGGCGCGACGCCGCTGGTGGGCTATCGGTTTTGGTGATTGTTGGCGTAGTCGGTGTTGGTGCGCTGTCGATTTTGGTGATTGGTGGCGTGACGCCGCTGCGTTGTCGTTGGTTAAGGTAGTGGGTGTTATTCGGCGGAAAGGCATAGGGTTTGTGGGTTGTTTGTGAGCTGGTGGGTGCCTAGGTGGCATGGTTCGACTACACCCGCGGCAGGCTGCTTGACCGACGGGGATGGAGGAGGGTGGTTGGTTGTTGCGAGGTGAGGGATGGTGGCTGCACGATTGTGGGTTGCAGGGTAGGAACCGAGATTGATTTTTAATTGGTGCAGTGAAGTTGTTTGGGTGGTGGTGGTGTGGGTGGAGTCGAGGTCAGGTGGTGATGTGGAGGTGGTTATGGTGGTTGACATAGATGGCTATGGAAGATTGGAAGGGGTGAGGTGAGAGAAGAAGGAATAGAGGAAAAAAAAATTAAAAAAAAAAAATCTAACGTGTTTTACAGGTTGAAGGTAAAAATGTTCATTTTGGGAAGATGGAGTTACAAGGTGGGATTATTTCTGGAATTCGACGAGGTGAGATTATTTTGAGCAGATGGTGAAAGGTGGGGTTATTCTTTTCAATTTTTCCTAATTCAAATTTATCTATATCTATACTAAAACAAAGGACACTCGAGCTACAGCTTGACACATGTCGCTCTATAATTAAAACTTTTCCCGCTCATTTTCCACCCCTAAATATATCAACTATATATTATTATGATGATACTGCAATTCATTATAAACATGTACATTCTTATTAAACGGATTCATTTTTAGTATTTTTTTCTTTTTATGATAACAATATCATATTATTAATGGATACAATTATTCATTCATAAAGTATATAAGATTCATGAATCTTTATTCTCAAAGACGCATATAATTTAATTTCTTAATTTCAATATGAAAAAAATCCACGTTGAGATATGGATTGTAACTTTGTTCTACATTGGGAGTCATCTTTTTTTTTTTTTTTTTTTTTGACGGGGAGAAAATACTATCATCAATGATACTAAAAGTCCAATTATAATAAGTATAACTTATTTTATAAAAGATGCATATAGTTTTATTATAGTATATAAAATGTGCATATAATTTTATTCTCAAATAATGCATTTTATAATCATTTGTGCATATATAAATACTAGGTTAGTTGTCGTGCCATGCACGGTAATTTCAATATTTATCATTAATTTAATACAATTATTTTACTGTAAAAAATAATATCAAATTGCAAATAGGATGAAAACTCTGTAATTACGATTTTTTTAAATCATTAAAGAAAACGGAGGATGAAATGCATGCACGACTAATGAAAATAACTATGGATTACATTACAAAGTTATAGATAAAATTAAATTACTGTATTATATGACTTTGTTCCTGTTATAAAATAAATAAATAAATAAATAAATAAATCTTTGTTGATTGTGTAAAAATGAATATACTTGCCAAATAGAAAAGAAATATTGTTCTAAAGTGAGTATTAAATTAAATACTTCTAAAGAAAAAAAAACCATCTTTTTTTAGGAAAAACTTTTAACCAGGTTATGACAAGTGTCATTTCTTATTTCGCCTTTAGTATGGATATATTGATACATAGCATGGATCTCAATATTAAATCCACGTTTGGCAGCAATATGATTGATTATACATCCATATATTTAAGTGTTTTTTTTATTATTTTTTTTTATATCTTGTTTTTAAAAAATTTAGTTATGGATAAAAATTTATAAGAAAATTTAAGTATCTAAGAATCTAAGATATGGCATTGAGATAAAAGTAAAATGTCTTATAGTATAATTACAAACTTTTGTAAAAAATCAAGTGTAATAAATATAGCACATCAGTTGTAACTTGTAAGGCTCTAAAATGATCCAAAGTTACCTCAAAATAAATATAACTTATCATGTTATGAACAAAAGTTTTCCTTAAAATGTTCGATGTACACTAATAATATTAATGTATATTGTGTGTACATTAAAGTTTTTGTACTTTATGATATGATGTGAGCTTTTTTTATATATGATCTCCAATAAAACTGCACGGTTCGCATCATTTGGTCTCTAGAACACGTTTTGTGTGCAGTTGATCGACCACACCTTGTGGCCACTTGTACATTTATCAGACGAAATAACTCCTATAATACTGGCAAAGTAACCTCTGTTATACTGTGTGAGTAACCCCTATAATAACCTTGATCGAATAACCCCTATAACATTGACGAAATAACTAACCCTAAAGCAGTAAAACCACATATAAAAGTTGGTGTGATCTGTATTAAATAGACAATTTTATTTATACTAGGCTAATTTTTATTTGCGTTGAAATACCTTTTGATTATTTTAGGGCAATTTTACAGCGGATATATAATATTATTTATCATATAATATGTTTTAAAAAGGGTTTGTGACTACATTATGAGATGGAGAGAGTATGTTTCATTATGATTAAGACAAAAATAACCTGAAGGGCAATGCACTTAGTATTAGTCTATTAGATAATGTGAATGGGCTTGATTTATTATGATCTGAAAGGGAAAACATGATCTAAAATCTGAATATGTAGAAATTTTAGGCCTTATTCGTATCTTTATTTCTATTATTTTATATTCAACAATGAATTGAAAATATTGATTATGTGATAAATGGATACACATTATCATGATTAACATTGTCATGAAATTAAAAATAATCAATTAAGGTAAAAGAACTTCACTATTATACGTTAATCTAATTATTGTATAAATATATAACAATTTTTTGGTGCGCAGGCCACACTGTGTAGAAGGGGTTACCCGAATTATTCGATTAGGGATTACTTGAGAGGTTCTGACAAGGGTTACTCGAGAGATTCACTCGGTCAAGGATTATTGCAGGGGTTACTCGAGTTTTTCGGTCAAGGGTTACTCGATTAGGGGTTACTCGATCACGAGTTACTCGGGCAGGGGTTACTCGGTCAGGGGTTATTTAAGGAGTTTGGTAAGGGATTACTCGAGTAATTCGATCGGGGGTTACTTAAAGAGTTCGGTCAGTGATTTCGGTCAGGGGTTATTTGAGGGTTTAGTCAAGGGTTACTCGATCAGGGGTTACTTGATTTGAAGTAACTCAATTAACCGAGTAACTTGAGTAACCCCGGCAACTCGAGTAAACCATGACCAAGAAACTCTAGTAACCCCTGACCTTGAGAATTAATAGTTGAACTTTATAAACCGTGCAATTGCACGGGTTCTATACTAGTATAAAGATTGGAAAATGAGGACAAAATATATCCTAAGACTCCCAGTTAATAATTAAAGTAATCATTCAAGTGGAATATATCATTTTTATTTCATGCGTAATTTAAATAATGAAAAGGAATTAAGAATTACGGAGTACGCTGTACATACATTATACAGAAAATCAGAAATGATTCAGCGATTCTACAGATTTACAATATCTTTATTTATATCCAGTATCAACCAAATTATTAAGGACATATAATCAGGAAATATTTTGATAAAAGATACGGAGTAGTACTTTGATATGTACATATATTTATGTAATTATGTTGCATGCTAGCTAGGAGCTTAGGACTCCAGGAGTACAATCAAATTATGTCGTACTCCATAATACTATAATAGAATCATAGTTGTATATGAGTATGTATTTATTTAACTAGTAATTTTAAGCTCAAAACAAAAATAGATGGTGTCAATATTAAACGGGTTAATAAACCTTTAACCCAAATCTAACCTATTTATTAACCGGCTTGAAAACCCTTGACTTCAACCTAACTTGGTTATTAAACGAGTGACCATGATAACCCTTTTACCCACTTATTATATATATATATATATATATATATATATATATATATATATATATATATATATATATATATATATATATATATATATATATATATATATATATATATATATAAAAGGCGTCTTTAGTAGTTCATGCAACACATCTATATCTATCTATACTTCTATATCTAAATCTGTACTTAGTATTTAAAAACACAAATCATCATCCTCATCAAGCCACGTGTTAATTTTATTTTTCACCAATGCCACATGTCACCTCATTTAACCTTTTTTTTTTTTAATCCCCTTTCTCATTTTTATTTTTTATTTTAAAAAAAACACTTTAATTTAAATACATGTATGAAAAAAAAATGAATGTTGTTCGCACGGTTCATTTTCCCAAACTTAATATCTTCTACAATTACATTCAATTTTTCACCCCTTCTTCTCCTTTATAAACTATTTATTTTTATAAAATAAAAAATTATATTGTATATTTACAAACAACCCGTGTATTACACGGAACAGAAGACTAGTTATATATAGTTGAGGGAAGAGTTGCACAAGAATTGAGGGTGGGTTGACTAAGGATAAATGTAGATTCTAGAAGAACAAAATTAACTTTTTTGGTGAGGGAGTAGTGATAAATTCCAACAGGCTTTAAGGCATTCATCAATTATTATGCTTAAATATTAGATGCATGCTGGAAGGACTTAAAACAACGCATGCAATTCACTGCAATTATTTTGTTTGTTAATAACACCCAATTGAAACGAACCCCTTTCTTCATTATTGTCACAAGCTAAGGTAAGGACCAAGGACAACCTCTTAAGGCTTCTGAGCTTCCACGCATATTTCATTATTTCCCCTCCTTTTCTCACATGTTTATGATCCATTGATCGTATCAGGGTTACAACCAAAAGCTTAATTTGATGATTGAGGTCTACGAATATGTTTTATACTCTATCACTTCCCCTCACATGAAAAGCCCTTTGGGCTTAAAATGTGGATGCAACACTGGCACACCCATACCTGGTGGGAATTAATTCCACTTTAAAGGAGGAGCGGATGAGATTTGAACCCGTAAACTTTGTGTCACGCTGGCTCCGATACCATGTTATTGGACCAACTCAACTAAAAGATTAAACTGATAGTTGAGGTCCAGGAATTTGTTTCTTGTACAACACTCAATTTGTTTTATCATAATTATGTTGACAAAATACTTTTCTTATGTTACCCAACAAATTCATATTTCTAGTCTGAAAATTATTTTAATAAACTCTTTCATTTACTTTTCTAATTATCTTATAAAAATGCGTGTCTTGAGTCTACGTTGCAAGCAAATAAAAGAAATCCGATAGATGAATTGAAGTATAACGAGCTGAGTATGCTCGTGAACTACTCGAGACTCGGCTCAATAAAAGCTTGATATAGGCTCGACTCGATTCGACTCGACTCAACTTGAACTCAAATTCAGCTCGAAATCTTCATGAGCCAAGCATGAACTATCCTTGCATTGACTTTGCTCGAAGGCTCGTGAACAAGCTCATTTTTTTTTTATTATTATTAATTTATTTTTGTAATAAATCAATTACTTACATAAACTTTGTTTCATACTTAGGAGTTAGGACTTTCCAACTAAAATTTATTTTTTTCAAAACTCTTATTACTTTTAGTGAGTTGTTGAGTTTTAGAGCTTTCGTTCATGGTTTTTGCTGTTGTTGTTTATGTTGAAGAACAATTAATAAAAGAATGAGAAAGAAAATATTTCCTCATTGAAAGATAAGAACAAGTCATCAAAATGTAAGAATTATAAAAGCAAGACTTGATTGTCTTTGAAACAATGGCTTTGAGCACCATTTGTACCTTGCTGACTAATTTTGGGCTTGACAAGCCTTGATCAAGTCCCGAGCCTTTTGTCAAACTGTGCTTAATTTTTCCATGCTCAATGAGCTTCAAGCTCGAGCCGGTCCTACTAGGCTACGCCGTCTTAGCTCGATTGGCTAATTAACACCTGATGAAGTTCATAATCTTCAGCATAATCCTCAATAACACCCTTGACTTAAATACTCTGTATAAGGGCAATAATGCAAAATGTAGCGGTGCAGAGTAAATACTTCGTATAACAAAAACGAAATGGTGAAAATGTGGGATAAGACCAGTTAGGTAAAATGGTTTTGTCTAACTGGTCGAATTGGCCCGTAAGGGGTTGCGGCCCTTCACCTAACCTACCAAAAAAAAAAAAAAAGTTTCACCAATCAATATATGTTAAATTATGAAAGATTATGAAATGAGCCTAGACAGCTCGTACATGGAGGAGTGTTTAGTCCACAAAGAAGGTCAAAGGAGGATCCATACTAAAACCAATTTATGATAGTAGGAGTAACTCATCTACTTAATAAAGTGAAACCACCTCTCCATTTAATTCGACAAGTAGCGTCAAAGTGTAATAACAATTCGGATGATCGGATTGGCTTCGATGAGGTCGGGTCGGGTTAATGTTAAAAGTCCAATTATGCTAAATTATTTTTTCCATGCTAGTCGAAATTTGAATCTGATATTTTTCGGGTTAGTTACGGGTCCGGTTGGGTCGGGACACCTCTAAATTAACAAGTAGTTGTTATATTTTGATGAAGCTTTTCTCTTATTTGATGGACATTGTTTGATAATATGACACAGCATCATACTTGAACATAACATCACCAATACCATACGAGCAAAGAAACTCAAAAGGTGGTACAAGTGAGTTAAAATTTGGTATGAATTTTGCATATGGAGGAACTGGAGTATTCGACACGGATATTTCTCAACCAAATATGACTTCCCAAATCAATTTGTTCAAAACTGTTATTACTCAAGATAAACTTTATGCCAAAAATGACCTTCTTAATTCTGTTGCTCTTGTCTCTCTTGCTGGCAACGACTATTCGAACTACCTCAAGCATGGCTCTCAACAGGTTAGTGGTTTACCTAATTAACTCTATATTTTTTTAGTTAAATAATTGTTTTATTTATTCTACATTATTTGATTACTTTCATATGTTTTCATATTTCGTTTATTTTAGAGTAAATCCAAATTGATATCCTATATCAACGAAGCTCGTTGATATAGGGGCATTAATGTCAACTCAGTCATTAAATTAAGGACAAAGTTGGAAGAGAGAAATTATTGCCCAATTTATCCCCTTTATTGACTGAGTATCCCGTTTTGACCTCCGTTATCGTTTTAACATCGTTAATGGTTTTCTCTCTTTGAAATAGCTCATTAAGCCGATGAAATAGCTCATTTCTATACAGTATTTCTCCATTCTTCCCAAATTACAATAAATTAAGGACATAAAATAAGTTAACAAAATTAGCTCATTAAGGACAGCCAAGTTCAGCAATAATTCACTCATTAGATTTGCATAATCTACACAAAGGCTATATCGGAAAATAAGTTCAGCAAAATTACCGTGATTTCGGATCTACACAAAGCCTGCACTGTCGAAATCTTGCATAATCTCTCTCCTGCACTCCACATTTACTCCAACACAACCAGACGAAATACTGTATCCCAAATCAGCTAATGGTTTATTGATTAGATTTGAGTGTTTGAGTGGCGGTGGTACCGGATTATCCACCGCCGATGATTACTTTATTGAGATCTAAAGGATGATCATCTCCTCTGGAATTTTAGATCTCAATAAAGTAGTCACACAGCGTTAATTTTTCCGTCCATATCAATACCGTTACAAGATTTGATTAAAAAATTGCTCCAACGGACTACATGTCAGCATTCCACTTGTTTTCATGTGGGTCTGAGCAAAACTTCCAAGTTATTACAAGTTTGCCATTATATCAACAAAATTTGGTTGATATATGATATCAATGGGGTCTGGCTCTTTATTTTATCCTTGGAATATTGATGAACAATCAAGTTATACTGGGTATATGTAACAGACATTTAGATGAAGTACGTGAATCTAATGGGTATATGTAACATTTAGATGAAGAGAACTTTATGACTTTTAAACCTAGACCATAACTTGAAATCGTAATTGTCTGCTATTACATAAGTCTGTAAGAAAGGAATATAATCCTATGACTATGACCCACTAATTGTAGGGTTTTAGGTACTCTAAGCGAAATTTCATGAATCTCATTCATACGCACCTAAACAGGATCTCATGCATATACAAGTAAAGGATCACATAATAGTTTAGAATTAACCTTTGATGCGTGAATTCCCAAGCTTTCTTCTACCTTCTTGCGGAGATTAGAGCCCCATTTGTTACTCCTCTAATATTGGTCCACAAGTGTAGATCGAACCTCCATCAATGCTAGTTGGACGAGAGAGATTAATCTCCTCTTCTATGGAGAGTTTCCAACCGGTTGTAGAGAGAGAGAGAGGAAGGGAAAAATATTACGTAATTTCTTTTTGAGAGATGAACGTCTGTTGTTTATTTTTCCCCAAGCCCTTTATTATATATAATCATATTATCTAATTAGGGCAAGACTTATTCCTATCTTACTCCTTATGGCCAGTCATTCACTAAGCCCAACTTTTGGACTCGGTATTCATGTTCGACCTAACACTGTAACGTGTTACCTCATAGGATCCATTTAGTTGGCATTGGTTTAACCCAATGATCAATATTGGTCTCTAGCAAGACGTAAAGACGACCCAACTAAACGAACTTATTATCTCCATAATACGATCCATATTATATTAGTAATTGCACGAGAGTCGAGGACACATTTCCTTCAATCTCCCACTTATCTGAGACAAGCGTGCAATCTTCAAATTCCTTAAGTCTCTTAGTGTCCAATTTGATAGTATGATTACATCTCTATGTCATCCATACTAGCGTTCAAATTATTTCTTGAAACCCGAGTTCAAATTGCTAAACAAATGATTATCTAGTAATCCATTTGAGCACGGCCATGCATTTCCAATCCTTACTCTTCAAGAGGCCAAGACACCCATCCTATCTAACATAGGAGGACCTATTCAATCTTGTGGCAACCAAAACTCCCACTCAACTTTTAGCGCAACCCGAGTGTCGCTTTTATAGTCCCCTTTTACGGCATGACGTTTAACAACATCAAGGTTACACTAATCATTAAATTGAGTAGTGTTCCACTCATGTCTAAGGAATCCACTAATATAATTTGCGAAGTTTTTCAAAACTTCTAAGTAGGTCAGTTCAATCTGTATCAACCATACAAATCCATATAATTGACTGAACATCTCTATGTTCCCATAGCCCATGAAACTGCGCTATCAATCAATCTTATATGCTAATCCTCTTCAATAAGTCGTTTATGTCCAGTTTAACGACTTGGATTAGGAACTTAAATATTCCATGAATTCAGTTCACTTATGGGGTTTCATTCATCAAATCACGCATTTGACAAACCCATTGAAATTCATAAAATATTTTGGACATTTTATTTAATACTAAACCATGATTAAATAAGTATGAAACATTGTTTCACATTGATAAACATAGGGAGAACACAATTGATAGTTTTGCAACTGTGTCCAATACACAATCAAAGCTATCTAATATGTTCAATTTCTATTGAACCTAATATGACTTTCATATTTAGGCTTCGGAAATAGTTTAGTTAACAGATTTTGAGACATTCTCATCCATATGAACTTTGCGACCTTTTCTTTTATGATAGTTTATCTCCATATACTTAGACGTTGCCTTTTGTTTTTCTCCAAGTACTTTAGGAAACTCTTAATTCTATAATTTCCAATATCACATATCAGAGTTCGATTTGAAAATTGCATACATGCATCTAATGAGTATAATGCGTAGCCTTTATGACGAATCCTTTGCAATTGCACAAGGAATGTCACTCATTCGCTAAATCTCATCAGTCTTTGCTTTGCACTGAGTCTTGATAAGCAATGCGCTATGCCACATGGGAGTGAAACCTCCTTTGGAGTTTTCATGCTTGAACGTAGAGAGAACCTCAGCTATATAAGTTTCTCAATCAAGTTCAATCCTCTTCCAAGACCAATCTCAATAAATCTTGATTCCCAAGATGTACTCATTTAAACCTTCAAGGTCTTTCATACAATAACAATTCATTAGCCATTACTTGACCTATTCAAGTATGGAAACATCGTATCTTTTAAGAAGTATGTCATCTACATACAACACCAAGAAGACTACATAGCTCCCACTAAATTCTTGTATGTACAAGCTTCTTCATTTATAAGACTATCAACCAATTTGATTAACTTATTAAATCGAAGATTTTGCTCCATGATGCTTATTTCAATCCACTAATGGACTTGTGAAACTTACATGCATTTCTAGGACTTCCTGGTTCTTCAAAACGTTAATGTGTGTATCACATACACATTCCCTTTCATGAACAATTTCAGGAAAGTGTTTTGAACTCCATCAACCATATCACATAGAGTTTAAATCACTAGAAGAGTCTGAATAGATATAAGCAATATTAGCAACGAAAGATTTCACCATAGTCAATACTATGAATTCGTTAAATCTTTTAGTGACTAATCAATGCTTGGAAAACATTTTTCCTTCCTTGTCTACTCTTTGCATTCAATGGTTCTCTCCCAATTCATGCAAATCAACCAAGTGTCTCACACTCAATTTTTCAGACTTGGAAACCATTTCAGATTTTCATTGTACTAAGCTATTTTGTGACTCGTCAAATCTTACATTCAAAAAATCAATATTTTAGAATTTCTTAACCATCAAACTTATTTATCTGGCTTAGACTTACTAGACTTTGTGGGTTTATGCGCAACAAGTGAAAACTTATTTTTAATGAAGAACAACATAAGAAGGGTATACATTGAATGTGGCCCTTGACACATGGTTACGTATCCCATTACATCAATGAGACCACGTGTTGTTGTTTTTAACATGGTGTGAATCATGCTCATTTGTTAGTTCTCTCGAACACCTTCGAGACTTATACTCCCACTTGCCTTATCTCGAACACCTTCGAGACTTATACTCCCACTTGCCTTATCTCGAACACCTTCGAGACTTATACTCCCACTTGCCTTATGAAAAAGGGCCAATAAGCATAGGGTATGTTGCTCTTCTCGACCTTTTCGAGAATTACTCCCACTTGCCTTTTAGAAATGACACCTTTTTTCAAAAAGGCACCAATTTAGAGCAACAAACAATTTGTCCTTAAAACATTTCGTGGTTGTAGTACCCTTGTACTAAGCTTTAGAATTCAACATTGCATTAAACAATTTAATACAAGTTTCTTATTCTTAAATTTGTAGAAAAACAAAATAAGAACTTCTCTTATCCATATCTTATATGATGTCTTATCTACATTGTGATTTGACGCAGTCCTAATTAGTGTAAAAAGGTCATTTTAAAAGTGTATCCTTAGAACTATTGTTTGGAAGTACAATTCATCATGAATTATGCTATATCTTATATAGTTTAATTCCTCCATTTGAAAAACATTTTCTTTTAGTGGAGTAGGTTGTAAACTAATTTTACAATCCTTGGGATGATCATCAAGTTCTTGGCTCAAATGCTCATCACTACGATCACATCATAAATGCTTTTGAATTCTTTCCAAGTCAACGATTTGACTCAAAAGTAAACTGTTACGATCATATCGCAATTTTTGCCAAGTCTTATTTTATTCTTCTTTTGAACCTTATTGAATTCCTTCAAATTTTCAGATTCATGCTTCATGTAAGCATGTGTGATCATATTCAAAAGAAGTGTCCATGTTCATCTCTAGCCTGTGAACCTTAGGTTTCTTAATTACATCGTTATGTATTCAACCATGGGTTCACGTCACCTTTTCTACAAAAGATAAACTTTTCAATCATCAAACTACAATAAGATTTGCATGCATCAATGGATTCATAATCTTATGATGTTAGAAGTCCATCCCTTCGGAGCTTCCGTATGCAATTCTATTCGTATTTTGATCAAATTGACATTTC